TATTATTATTATTATTATTATTATTATTATTATTATTATTATTATTATTATTATTATTATTATTATTGTATAAGATCACTGAACGATCCTCGAGGGCTCCGACTTCACCTCGAAAACCGCTCAGTACACTAAGCGATACAAACTTTTCCTAATTGCTCTGCAGAAGCACTCCCTCTAACCAGAGGGTGAGCCCTACTGCAGTCCGGAGTCATGCTGCCTAAGTATCCGAAGGGACCCAAGGATGACAGTCTTCTGCATCTGTCCAGCCAATATGGAGGCATTCCGCCTGCAGGCTGGGATCACTTCAAGCGCAGATACAAAAGACGGCTTCATTCCGCCGAGAAAACCAATAATGAGGACAATCAACTTGAGCCTGAACCCCCGGTTCAGTTGACGTAGCTCAAACAGGAGAGGTTGATATTTGAGCCGCTTTTCTTCTTCCTTTATTGATATATTGTTCTCGGCAGGAGCCGAGAACTCAACCACATAGATGATTTTGTCATAGAGCATAAGGTAGTACCGCCGTACTGTCTATCCCATAAGAGTGCCGTAAAAGATAATACAGCACTCTCACAGCCGCATTATGAAAATAGATATAACTCGTGATTGCATACGTCGGACAAGCCGACAAAAGATGCATCAGAGTTTCCGGGGACTGCTTGCAAGCCCGACACCTAACATCCGGAACTTATAACGCCATAAGACGACTTCGATAGACCAGGGTGTTTATCACGCCATCCTGACACGCGCAAATGAAACTCTCAAACTCGGACATCAAACCAGCCGACTTCAAGAAAGAGAAAGTCAACTGGACGGACCGCCTCTGCTCCTTCATATGACGGAAGAATACGCCATACATGGGCTTGTCAACGTGCCGGCGGAGCAAGGTGACCAGCGTAACCAACAAGGTGAACAAGGTGACCAGCAAGGAGCCAACTGACCACCTCGGCCAAGACGAAATTCCAAGCCGAGAGCCCCAGCTGCGGAATCCGCTGCCGTATAGAGAAAGGCTTGAATCCCATGAAGCTCATGTTCATGAACAAACACCAAGAAAGGATCCAAGCCATTCATGACGTTACANATCGCCCCTCCCAACTGATCCGCGTTCCCCATCCGAGAGGGACCGATTGTGGGGGGCTCTGCCGCGGCTCGATGACGGAACCGGGTATAGGCGCCGCCGGATGGTTAGCCCGATACCACCATGGCTATTGCGGACATGCCGGGCGATGGGTTCGCCACACTCCCTACGCCTATTATTATTATTATTATTATTATTATTATTATTATTATTATTATTATTATTATTATTATTATTATTATTATTATTATTGTATAAGATCACTGAACGATCCTCGAGGGCTCCGACTTCACCTCGAAAACCGCTCAGTACACTAAGCGATACAAACTTTTCCTAATTGCTCTGCAGAAGCACTCCCTCTAACCAGAGGGTGAGCCCTACTGCAGTCCGGAGTCATGCTGCCTAAGTATCCGA